CCTATCACTAATGTCCAGATGCTTCACCATCCTTTGTTTTTCTTAAATCTGCTTTACCCTCTCAAATCAAACTGTCCTCAGTGAAGCCTTTTTGCATGTGCCAACTTTCCCAAGCTGATCCCAATGCAGAGTAAAACTGGGCCTACCAGCGTCTTCTATGCTCACCCTGGCTATTCTGTATCTTGAAGACCCTCTGGGTGCCCAGTTCTGCCACCCCCACTTTGGGTCCCTGAGGACTCACAGGACGAAGTCAGAGGGAATCTGAAAAGACTCGAATGTTCTTGGATGGCTGTCCCATGGGTCCCTTCTGTCTGGTCCCTTCGTGTTGCCCATGCTCCCTCCAGGCAGAACAGGCAGCCTGTCGGGGTAAAGACCTGCCCAGGCCCTGCAGCCCAAGGGCAGCCCCTGGGGAGTGAAGGCCAGGATCAGCCTTTGTCCCCCACACCTGGAGCTCAGTGCCTGCTTTGCCTGCGCAGTGGAAGCTCTGGTTTAATTAAGGATCTTAGGAGAAAATTCTCTCTTGTTATTTTCTGAATAAATTAAGGAAGTAACTTTGATGCAATATCATTTTCATCTAATCAGGAACATTCTGAAATTACCATATTGTTTTCCATTAGAAACCCCATCAGCCCCCAAATCAGATAACCAGGCTGGAGACTGCCAAGGCCCCTCTGTCCTGGGGCAGGTGCGTGCCACTGGGACAAAAAGGGACTGGCAGCTCCTGCCAAGATCCCTTGTTGAGTTCATGAGAGTGCTCAAGGCTCTTAGAAGGGCCCCCTCAGCCTTGGCTCGGCTCAGGAGGGGTCCTCCAGGCCAAGGGCAGGGGAGGGGCAGGAGGCCTGCAGAGCGGGTTGGGTTGGATCAGAGCATGCCCAGGAGCTTCTTGGCTGCTAGGCCAGGATGGGGGAAAGGTCAGGCTCCTAATCTTGAGCCCCCATTCCCACTGCCACCCTATTAAGCTCCCAGAGACAAGAGGAAGGGGGCCCCTAAGTTCCGAGCTGGCACCAGGGAGCACAAAGAACGGAGGCCCAGGGATCCAGCATCTGAGAAAAGACTAAAGACCTCCCACGCAAGGTGGGGCCAGAGGCTGCTGGGAATTTGCGAAATTTCCCCCGCAAAGCTGATTTCCAATCTCTGACGAAGCTCCCTGAAGGCTTGAGCTGAAGGTGTCAAGACCACAGCAAGGCAGAGACCCATGGAGGGTAGACAGGAGGGTCCTGAGGCTGGAGTCCCCTCCCAGGAAGCTCACTGCCTCGGTTCACAGCCTCCTCCTCCAGGCTGCCCTCCAACCCTCAGCAGGGATGGGCCAGAGCTGGCCTCTTTCTGAGGGTCATTCCAGAGCTGTGTAATGGTACCTTGCCTCAGCGTGCCCTGAGAGACCCACGTTCACCCTCAAGAAAAGAGGGTGGTCACTCCAGAAGTGCTCGTGGTAGGGTCAGAATCTCTTTCTGTTGGTCTGTTTGTCCCTAGTCCTTGTCTCTGTTTCTGAGTTTGTCACTCTCTGCTCTTGCTCATGTGCATGCTCTCTCTCTCCCTTACTCGCTCCGTCCCTCCCCCCCCCCACCTCCTCATCCCACCATGCTTCAGGCCTTTGAGAAGCCAAGAGGCTAACCCCAAACCCAAGAGGGACAACTCCCAGCCCTGGTTGCTCTGGGTCTGCATGTCCCAGGGCTAAAGCCGGACAAGTAGAAAAAAGGGGGCGGGGGTATCTGAAGCTATTCACCGTCCCCCTGAGGCTGCCCCAGAACCAAGAAGGCAGCCCAGGTGATGCCAGCCATTCAGAGTCATGTGAAGGAGGAAAAGAGGAAGGTGGGGGAGACTGACAAGGAGGAGGGTGGTTGTCACATGGCAGAGAAAAGTGAGTGTGGGGGAGTGGGCAGGGTCTGAAATCCCAAGACAAGTGGGGAGCCAGCCTGAGGGCAGCGAAGTCCCAGGTGTTCTTTGAAAGTGGCCGGTGGGTCCTTCTCCTTGTCTCTGAGCTCAGCAGGGGACCAGGCACATGGAAGAACCAGGAAAACCTTGCCCAGTTGGATAAGGAAGCAGCGAGTCGCCCTGCAGGGCTGTGTCCCCTGTAAGCACAGGAGGGAAGAGGGCCTGGAGGGCAGCTCCCACAGGGCCAGGAGAGGCAGCCACCAGCAGGCACTCTGGGGAGCAGGGCTGTGGCCTTTGGCACCGGGACAGATACTGTCTGCACTGCTGCTTTCGGGCCTCTGAGCCCAGGGATGGGGAACAAGGCCAGGAAAGGCCAGCGGCTCACGGGTGGACCCATTCATTCATTACACAGCTTGTGCAACGCCCCTGGGTGAGGCCGCTTGCCTCCCTGTGCTTGTGGGTGTGGGTGTGGGATGTGCATGGGGGTGGTGGGCATTGTGCGTAGATCGGAAGTGGGTGCTGATGTAGACCCGGGGGCGGGAGGTGGGGTGGGCTAAGCATGAGTGGGAAGGACCTGCGCATGCTTGCAGGTGTCAGTGGGAACAGCTGAGGGCCAGGGCAATCAGTCCGCGAGCAGACCCCAACCAGAAGGTGCAGGACCAGTGCCCACTGCTGCTGCTCATCCCACTTTCTGCTCTAACCACTCAGAGTGGGCACCTGTCCAGGGAGTTCCAGGACCCTGATTGTTCCTGGGGGAGCTCCCTGTCCATCCAGTCCCACTCCTGCACCCCTCCCCCTGCCTGCCAGCCCACAATCAACCACTTGACATTGGCAGCCTGTCTTACCACAGTGTGAATCTCTGGGCTCAATCTGAAGTTGCTCTTTAATATATTTGGCTCAGAGAATACTTCCCACAGTCTCTTCTGGGCTTTTCTGGCATTGGTTTCCGAATCTGCTCTTGCTAGCATGTTGCCTGGCACACAGTAGGGGCACTTCTGCTGGCCCTCCCTCTTCCTGGACTTTACTTCCAGTCCCAAGCTGAGAAGGGTCTCCTAGCTCCCTTGGCTGCTGGCAAGTGTCAACTTCCCTTTCTCCTGGTCCATCGGTCTAGCACTCAATTTTGGTCTTGAATTGATCTCCCCAGCCCTAGCCTTCCTCCTTGCTTCTGCCCCAGGTGTCCATGTCCCAGGGAACTCAAGAAGGACTGGGATTCCCCTCTGAGACCCCGGCATTTGCCCCAGGCAACACTCCCAGAAGAGGTGCACATTCCCGCCTGCCAGCCTGACCTGGCCAGGCCCCAGCGCAGCGCGTAGGGACGCCCCTGCCACAGCTGGCTGAAGCTTGTTGTCTAAGCCTGGGAGCGGGCTGGAGGGTGGCCCATCCGAGAGCAGGCACACCCTGGGTGAGGTCATGCCTGCCTCACACCTCTGGTATTCCGGCTGATTGCTATCTCCTCCCCAGCCCTCAGGTTACTGCCGTGGAGATGCAGGCAGAAGAGGCCCTGATATTGCAGAGCTGGCCCCAGGCAAGACGGGCTATGGCTGAACCCAGCCTGCCTGTCTGCTGCTCCCACCACCACCCTCACCTCCTGCCACCCCATCAGATGGACAGACAGACAGGCCAGCTGCCCCATGGGAGAGATGTCTGCTCCCCTTGGCCACCTCCACCAGGTTAAACCCTACCCCATCACTGGGCAACCTGGAGAGGGTCTTCCCTCCTCAACCAGGAAGCCAGGCCAGAGGAGGGGTGCTGGGGGGACAGGTCCCAGATGACTTTCCCTTAGGAACATACTTTGTCACTTCCACCATACCTTCTAGGCCTCCTCACCTATTCCTCAACCAAACTTCAGTAATCCAGGACCCATATGATTTAGATTGTCCTCAGCAAACCAGATAATTGTTGAATCCCATTGTGCACTGGACCCCCAAGATGGTATGTGGGTATTTTGATGAGCCTGGACTCTGCAAAGGAGTGATTCTGTGGCCTGGGGTTCTTGGAATCCAGGGATGCATCTGTACCTGGATTCTGTGGCTTACTAGAGTGGTAGAGCTCAGAGGGGGGCTCCCTAGGGGATGGGGGCCTGGGGAGGCAATTACCAGCAGCTCTCAGGAGACTTGCTCTTGTTTCCTGTTCTCTTTACTACCCTCATCTCCAGACGGGTCCCTAAGTCAGGGAAACTGAAGCCCTGAGATGATAACCAGCCGCACATTTGGTTGGGAACATGATCTTCCTGGGTGACCCAGACATCCTCTCCCTCTCCCATAGCCCCTGCCACACACAAACCCCTCCACTCCCTCTCCTGTCTGCCTCCTTCATATTCTACAGCTAAGCCAGTGGTTCTCAAAGTGTAGTCTCTAGATCAACAGAATTAACAACACCTCATTCAAAATGCAGCTTCTTAGGCCCCACCCCAGACCTACTGAACCAGACACTCTGAGCTGTGAAGCAGTGAGAAGCTCTGCTAGTCTTTTCAGACCTCAGTAATGGACACATCACTTGGAGGTCCCATTAAATACACAGTATGGGAGTGTAGATTATGACTCAGGAGGCCTGGAGGGGCCTGGTATTCTGCATTTCTTAGAAGTTCCCAGGTGAGGCCAGTGATGCTAATCCAGGGACCACACTTGGGCCAGCCAAGCCCCGCATACCTGGCTCTGTGTTCTCAATCCCGCGGTACTTAGAACCACGTTGGGGGCCTTTAAAAATACCAATAGTTGGGCCCTGGCTCCTGAGATGATTTAATTGCTCTGACATGAGACTGGGGCATGGGTAGGTCTTTAGATCTCCCTGGGATATTCTAATGGGCAACTGACATTCTCAGCTGACATTCTAAGACATCCTGGGCACATAGATGCCTACATCCTGACCCACACCATACCATCCCACACTCTCTTCGAGCCTCCTTATCCCAGTCGGCATCTCTGAGCCCACATCTGCAGATGTTTGGCACATGAAGCACCAGCGCAAGGACAGACGGTGAGGGCTAAAAGCCTCAGATGTGCCAAGGCAGTCAGCTGCCGGCACGTGTGCACAGCCAGGCCAGGGACATGGGCAATGCAATCCTTTGGGTATGCGCTAACACCCCCAGATGTATTTAGCAAAAGAATGCACAGGAGCAAACACACAACCTGCAAGAACATGCACCAGCCATGAAGGAGTCAAAGACCTCTTCCGTCGGTCTCCAGTGGGTGACTTTCCATCCTTTGTCCAGACGATAGGCCTCTGTCTGTCCTTGACACGATCAGCACCAGGAAGGCTGGACTTAGGTCCCCTCTTCTGACTCAGCACCACTGAGGAACTCTGGACTGATCACAGCCCCCCACCCGGGGTGTCATGGGCACCCCGGAACAGGCCAACTCAGCCTTGGGATATTTGACAGGCCCCAGGAACCAGAACCAGGCGGCTATGGCAGGGCATTGCCCCCCAGGGACTGACCCAGTCTGGGGACTGTGGGTATCTTCAGCCCCCCTGCTCATCACACTGCTGCTGTTGTTGGGGCCTCCTTAGAGTTTAAAGCCCTGCACCCTGCCCCCCTACCCCGCGCGCTGGGTTCCTCCACAGACAGGCCTGATTGATGACTCAGGGGGGCTGCGGCTGCCGCAGGCCTGTTTTATGATGTCATTAGGCAGCTTCGGCGGCGGGAAGGAATCCCTCCTGACATCATAAAGGACTTGATATTTCGCTAATGTTATCTTGGCGGCGTGTCGCCCTGACATTTTCTCTTTGCAGCACTCCCCCCAGGACCAGGAGGTGTCTAACTACAGCCTGGAAAAAATGCAAAACAGACAAATGCACCCTCGGGGGACAGCGGGAGAAAGCTAATAGACCAGTCCCGGGCTCCCCACCCACGGAGGTGGTTTAGGTGGGAAGCAAGCATGATGTGTTTGTCAAAGGGGACCCAAGGCTGCCTTGGGCTGCACTCTCCCAGGGGCCGCTGCTCAGCAGCAGGAGGAACTCGGCCTGAGCTTCTGCCAGAGCTGCCACCCGCCAGCTGTGCAACTGGGGCTAAGCCCTGACACCGCCATCGGCTCCTCCATCCACAACACAGACCATTTCAAAGACTGTCTTGGGCTCCGCTGAGGGCCCTGAAGCTTCGGGGGAGGGTGACTTGGTAGAGGGACTCCATCCCAGGCTGGGAACTGAAACTCTAGACAGCCTGGGGGAGGCTGGCTGCCATAGTTCACAATTCTCCACCCTACACCCAGAAATGGTTTTGGGGGTCAGCCTCAGAACTCCAAGTGGTTTCCCCAGTCTGGAGCCCAGTGTCTTCAAAAGACCAAGACCTGCTTCTGGTTCTGAAGCAAAACTGAGTCGGCACGGGTGCAAATTCCTTGCAGGCACTGGCAAGCAGGAACCAGCAGAAAGGGACCAACTCTCAGTTCCAGGGTGGCTTGGGTAGCTCAGGGCTTGATGAAGGAAAGATCCAACAGCTTTGGGTACCTCCTAGATCCACCTCCACAAGGACCTTAGGTTAAATCAATCAAATCCCACCCAAGCAGCAATCACCCACCCCCATCCCAGAATTCCTGCCTACTTTGCAGTGTAGAAAACAGCTCCGCACCCCACCTCCAAAGACGTGCTCACTTCTTCCACCAGGCAGCCCTGCCTTCTGCCTCCCTGTGGTTTCCCCAAGGGCCCCAAACCCTGCCTCCTGGGCTTGAGGGAATATGGCTGCCCCCTGCACCCCAGGACAGCTCTGCGGTGATATGTGCAGACTTTCCCCATCCCCCCACAGAGTATGCAGGGGAAGAAGCCAAGTTTGTTTTCTCATGTTGGAAGAGCATAGCTGGCTGTTTTAACTTGGGCTCCAGGGTTAGAACTATAGTTCAACAGCATGCACTTCGTCACCCTCTGTATTTTGTTTTATGCAATTAAAATTTATTTGAGAAGGGTGTGCAGGCCTCACCAGACTGCTAAAGAATACAATGACATTAAAAAAAGAGGATCCCAAAACAATTTTTCTTTTAAAAAAAAAGAAGGAAAAGAACTCTGTTCTAGAATCCAGACAAAGACCTTTCACCATGAATGTATTGGGTTTAGGAAGATTATCCTGACCTGCATGTGCCTCCCAGCTCTGGAGAACCCCCAGTCTTTGAAGGCACCACTATAAAATTTTAAGGTAGATAAGGCCAAGACTTGTCTCAGATGTGGCCTGCACCTCCAAGTCCCTCATGCACACCAAGTGACAAGATCACCCAACTCCTGCACTCCTGGATTCCTGGATCTGAGCTGAACTAGCCACCTGGCAGACACTGGTGCACCTGGCAGGGCAGGCAGAGGTGGGTCAACCCCAACCCTGGCTTCAGGGAGTTCTCACCACCGAAGGCAGACACACTTGGGCCACACACTACTGCCCACTCTTCCCATGGGGCTTTCTAGAAGCTGATCCTGAGGCCCATTCCATGCCCTGTGGGCAGCCAACCCTCCCTCAACCATGCAGCACCCACTGGACCACCTACCTACCTTAGTCTGAATGCCCTCTCGCCCCGCTGAGAGTGAGCCTCTAAAATGACCCTCTTAGCCTTGGACAAACTGGCAGCATTGTACATAGAGATAGAAGGTAGAGGATGTCGGGGAACAGGCAGCCCTGCCCCCTGGCTAGCCCATGTCTCTGATCATGTGAGGAAGCAGCACATGGACATATATCCTCCTGAGCTGGCTGCCCCAAGCAGAAGGCCCACAGGACAGTGTCCTCCAAGCCACCTGTCGCCTGCCCTGCCTTGCTGAGGAAGCACCACTCCAGAGCTGCAGAATAATAACTTGATTGTCCAAGCTGGTATAATGCCACTGCTGTGCGTTGGTACCCTCCAAAATGGTGAGCAGGTCATTCATTCACAAGATCTTCCTTAAGTACTGGTGACTTGCCAGGCACTGTTAAAGATACTGGGAACAAAGACAAAAATCCTGCTCTTAAGGAGCTTACATGCTCTTGGGAAGAAACAAGCAACATAGAAAATAAATAAGCACCAAGAATGGTGTGTCATACTGAAGGGTTGATCAGTGCCAGAGGTAAAAGAAAGAGCAGGGTACAGAAAAGATGACATCTGAGTAAATATCTGAACGGATAACAGGAGGAGCCGTGGGGAGATCTGGGTGAAGCATGTTTCAGCAAAGGACACAGCACATGCAAAAGTCCTGAGGCAGGAATGTAACTGACACATCTGGGAAACAACCAAGAAACAAGGGCAGCCAGGGGAGATGGGGAGAAGAGCAAAGACAGTGACAGGTGGGGAGGTGGATCATCTGGGGCCGGAGGTCACTCTAATGACCTTGGCTTTGACTCCACATGAGGTGGAGCCATTGGCTGTTTTGTGCAAACAAGTGAAGTGATACAACTTGTATGTTAACGAGATCACTGTGGCTATAGTGTAGAGAACAGACCACTGAGGGGTGGGGGAGACTGGCGCTCAGCCTGCTGCACACCAGGCATTGCTCCTGGGCGTGTGCATGTCTGTCATCCTCACAAGCACCCTGAGAGTAGATGCTTTATCCCCCTTGTACAGATAAGGAAACTGAGGTTCAGGAAGGTCACACACCTATGATTGAGAGACTCGACCCAGAAGTCCCCAAACCTGAAACCCAAGTCCTTCACACTCCATTTCAAGTTCTGCCAGGTTAGGATTCCAACAAGGAGAACGTCTAGCCACAGACCCCAAGACAGAGAACGGAGTCAAGACATTTACCAGCTGGGAACTTCATGCTAATTTGGAGTTGCCCATAAAATGTCATCTTCACATGCTTACTCTTTACATTAAAGCTCACATGATAGTCCCTGGTATTAGTGCTTTTATTTTCCTTTATACAGTTTCCAATTTTTCGTCAATCTTTTTATTTTAAATTCCATCCAAAATCATCAGCGAAGGGAACAGACTGTAAGGAGCGGGGAAGCATTTGATAATTGCAAGATGTGAGCTGGGACTCCTTGTCTCTTACCAGAGTCATCCATCGGCACTGACATCACAGGACGGCCTGGGGCCAGCCCTGGCCAGGGAGTCTGCACGGGAAGGGCTGCCTCTGCCCAGTCCCTGCAGGTCAGAATGGGAGTGACATTACCAGCTGGCCCAGGAGCGGAGCCCTATCCAGGTGAGGCCGCCTGGGAATGACTCCAGCATCTGAGCAGGGAGGTCCCGCCATGAAGACTGGCCTCTGAACACAGACAGGAGAAGAGCAGTCCCCATCCCAAAGAAGTTCCACGACGGCAGAAGAGACCATGGACAGACAACGGGGGAGCAGGGGCACAAGTGCTCGGGGGCACAAGTGCTCCGGAACGCATACCAGCAGGTCTGGCAGGTGGAGGGCCACACTTTTCCCCACACACACTGTGGGAAGACCGGGGTGGGGGTCTCCTCAAAAGAACAGGTTCTCACTCTGCTTCCAACTGGAGCAATTATAAATACCCAGTGGGGATTGTGGTGATTTCTATTTAAAGAACCCCAGGAGACTCTGTGAGCTCTGTTTTCCCCACAGCAACCCCAGGACAGTTCTCCTCAAGTGAGTTTCAAGAAGGGAAGGAAGAAGTGAGGAGAGAAGGATGGAGAGAGGGGAAAGGAAATGAGGAAGGGTAGTAGGAAGGAAGAATAGAGAAAGGGGAGGAGATGAGATAAGGAAAAAGAGAAAGAGCTAAGTAAGCCCCAAAGGACAGGCAGGTGTTTCTCCAGAGGTATCAGACCTGGTCTGGTCAGGGGCAGCACCAGGGAAACTGAGAGCTGAGTCCAGAGGCCCAAGCCACAAGAAAAAGATAAAAGGCATGGCCTTGAGCTGCTGCAGCCATGCAGACAAATCCATCCTTCTCACCTTGATGCAGCTGTGCCTGCATCCTGACGTAGATACCAGCAGCCTCACAGGTAGATGTGAGGAAATGCACCACCATAGGAAATGCACCCACTGGTGCATGCATGTGAGCAGATTGACAGGTATATGCAACACAGAGAGGCATGGAGGGCTGGGGGGAACACCCATGGTGTCCAACATTGCTCACACGGATGCCAACAGAAAGGCATGGCCCCATGTCCACACACTCCGACAGGTGTCAGACATGCGCCAGTATGGACACACCTGCACAGACATGGAAAGATGTAAAAATGAACATCATAGACACAGGCAAACGCCCATACAGATACTGGCAGGTGTGTACATGCACGAAGTTCCTGATAAACACAAGAGCAGGTGCACATGCATGGTCATATGCTGACACCCAGACACACATCTCAACACATGCATGTGCACAATGACCTATTCTGATAAGTAATGCACAGTAATGCACCTATTTGTAAGAATTGTGTTCCTAGGTGTATCCTCAGACACAGGCACAGGCACTGAGGCACGCTCAGAGACATTGGCCAACATGCCCAGGCATTGTCAGCAGACATGCACACATACACACACACACACACACACCTGTACTCGCTCTGCGTGCAGGACCTGAGCATCCAGGAGTCAACTATCCTCACAGCCATGTCCTTCCCTGCCCACTTCTGCCAGCTGCCAAGCTTTGGCTAGCTCCCTGGCACTCAGCACCCCACCAGCCCTTCGTCTGCCCATTGGCCCTGGCCCAGGCCCCAGGC